CACAGAAGGTCCAGTTGTTTTTCTTTGATAATGTCACATAAAAGAAGAGCCTTGCTGTTAACGGAGCAGGTGTTGAGTAGCGCTGATCTGGCCAGTCTCGTTGATGCAGGGGGAAGCGGAGTGCGGTCCAGGTGCGGTAGTGAGAGGAGATTTTTTAGATCGGCGCCGGTACGTGATGGACTTACAGACAAGGGCCGAAAGGCAGGGATAGAGACTCCGCAGGCAGACGAACGAAAATTGTGTCTTTGACCAGGAAGTAGCTTTGTTTTAGTGTAAGAAGTTGCAGTGCAGTGTATCTCAGAGACATGATCGATGAATCGAGACGGGAAGGAAATCCAGAGAAGGCGGTAGCAAATGGTGAAGGTCTTCAGTTCAGTAAGTTCACAATGCAGTGGAAGTCGCATTTGTGAATTTGTAACGTGGAGCGGATAGTGTGAAGCGGATGAAAATAGATAAATTAGAAATCAGTGTAATCGAGGAGAAAAGGGGGAAAAAAACATAAATAAGTAGATAAAAATGAAAAACTGGTGAGAGGAGCAGCAGCAAATGCGCCAACGTTCCCTCTCGACCAGAACCATAGTCAATAATGAAAGCTGCATCTTGTTGACTGGCTAAAGAATCCAATAGCTTGAGCCCAGTTAAGGCTTGAAGACAAACAAGAACTAAACAGACAAGGTGGAGAAATGCAGAATGGGTTTGAGACAGACAGAGAATCTCTCCAGCAGGAGTCAGGCTGAATGTCCTTCTGAGATGCAGGTTAGTTATGCTGAGATTAGCCCCAGGAGGTGTTCAAATCAATGAATCAGTTAAGAAAAATACATTAGTATGCAGTTTTTAAAGCCCACATACTATCAAACTGTCCTTACTTGTTATTCAGATAATATTTTGTCAAACACTTCCCTTGCTTTACAAACAAGTAGTATATCATACTATTATGTGCTAAAGTTGCAAAGAAATGTGTGCTGATGAAGACAGCTGTCAGTTTCCATCTGCATCATTCCACTTTAGATAGTTTCCCAGTGTTCATTGTTCCCTTCAAAAGCAATAATACTTCAATTCAATTTTTGAAAAAAAAAACAGACTGTCTAAATCTTCCCTAATACCATGATGTGGTGGATTGATATTTGTTTATACTATACTGTATTTACCATTGTGGTCAGTTTATTCAACTGTGTTGTTTCATTTCATCCCAAAAGCAGACAATGAGAAAGGAACGGTGTGGACCTTATGTTCTATCTACTGTATGTACATACTGTACATTTATATGTGTTATATTATATTTACATGTTTGCTTTGACTATATTTGATATTCATATTGTGCAGAGTGTCAGTCCACTATTAATAAAAATCACGTTGACCCATTAAAACAAAGCATCAATGTAATAACTGTTTAATTGAAAAATTCGCTGTTCTCACTATTTATAAAACCACAAAATGTCAACAAAGAATTCCGAGAATAAAGATCACTTACCAAATGCCGTGTAGAACTCTTCTATGGACAAGTGTTTATCAACATTCCGATCATCGTATTTCAAAAGATCAAACAAAGTGCATTCAGATACATCCTTGGCCAGTCCTTCCTGTTTGATGACCTGAAATACATTGTGTAAAATGTAACCAATGTATGATGTGAATGATCAAGACTATGGAAAACAGCTAAAATATTAAATTAAAAAATAAAATGAGAATTAGATAAACAATGATGGTATACAATAGAACTCTTAAAATGCCAAGAAAGGATGATGGAAATACTGTAGCTGAAGCTATACATTTGCAAAGGATACCTCTAGGTAGGCATCAAGTGCACTTAAAAGGGGTTTTTGATGATGATGAAGATGATGACGAAGACCTAACTTGAATTAAATGTTTTCTGAGGAATAGTAATTGGGTTTTTGCAAAATTATTTATTCTTCCTTTATTTTGCCAAAAATGTGAAAACAAAGAAAAATATTTCCATGTCACCCTGCAACTCACACCTGGTAACCCACTGAAGTTCAGCAGGTGTGAGCCCAAAACCTGTGGGTTTTGGGGATAGGCTTTGGCTCCTTGCAACCCTGACTTGGATGAATTGGTTTGAAAATGGATGGATGTTCCTATAAATGAAAGAAATGGCTGATATTTGAATTGTCATGTTCTGCTTTTTTTCGTATGCTTCATTTTTTAGGACTGCATTAGACAGTATACCATTACATTTATACAGAATTAGATTTTAATTACAAATGATATTTCATCACACAGGATAAAAAATAGTTGTACTGTATCTTCAGAAGGCAGATGTATTTAAATGGGGGATTTGATGCTTAGACATTTGAATAAAAGATTGCAATGTGCGAAGGCTTTAATTCCTTTTGAGCTTTTGTTCCATCCGCAAGCCTGGACTAATGCACTTCCAATAGCATGTCATAAAATTACTGAAGTGTTCGTAAAGTCAGCTCCTTCCAGTGCATTTGCATTTTATGCGTGCAGTAATGCAGTCTAAAATGGGTTTCTTATACAGATGCAGCCATTCAAAATGGGTGAGGTATTTCGCGGCATACCGTGACACGCCCACCGGGGTATCACGC